AGACTTGACAAGACCAATTTCAGACCTGTACCCATTGAGAGAGACAAAGTGACAGCGATCAGTGAGGTAAGACTTAAACCATTTGAGGGCAGTAAATGAGGGACACCAAAAATATTGTAAGCAAAGGCTTCCATGCAACGATGGCTCATGCATTAAGCAAATAAGCATGCTCAAGAACATATATAAAAACACCAGACAGGACTAGTTGCCTATATTTACAGCTACCATGGCTACAAGCTGAGATTACAGTGACTTTGAATGGGGGGCGATTGTTGGGGCATGTTCTGTAGGAGCTTCAGTGATAAAGACTGCTCAACTTGCTTATGTTTCACAAGCAACTGCAGAGCATGTGTGGTCACCCAGCAGTCTGACGAGCATCACACTGATGTCATCTGTGTATCACAGTCTTCAAAATCACCAGATCGAAACCCAATTGAGAAAGGGATATTTTGGAACCACGGCCAAGACATTGTTTTCCACCACAATAATTCAGGTGCGATTTCTTTAAAGATTTCTTAAGTAATCTTTTACGTGAGCGTTTCCATTTTTTTGTCCTGTACCTATACAATTTACAACAAACCAAGAGCACAATGACAACACTTACCGGCTGTGGAAACAGAGTGAATCCCGCTGGAGTGAGGCTTCAGCAACAGGCAGGTTGTGGCAAAACTGGACTTGCAGCAGCCAGGTTCACCAAGTACTGGCTCTCTTTGTCTAAGGGAGAAGACAACACATGCCCTTTAGAATGCAAGTCTTTGACAAAACGTTTCAAGAGCTGTTGTCCCCAGTTCATGTGTACTGCTGCTCTGCATTACAGTCAATAAACATGATGCTTTTCTTCAGTTCTTCCATAACAATTTGTCAATAAAGAACTGCTTCTTAAAATACCAACATGATTTCACATGGACATGAAGCAGTGTCACAATATTGAGGATAAGGACAAATTAACCCATATGCCTTACACATCAAGACAATGCCTTCCTGTCACTGGTATGTGGAGGCCAGATTGTTCACTGTCTTCTACTGTTCAGTAATTTCCGTTCAACATCATTTTCTAACCCACCAAGACATCACAGACAAACACCATGAGGCCCGAGTGTGACAGTCTAGCTGCTATCAAACTCCTCTTGTAGTGTTTGATGGCACCCTGGCTGCACAGTGCTACATGCCCATGTCCTGGGTCCTCACTACCTGGCCTTCATGCAGACTCATCCTGAAGTGACAACATGCCAGCAGGACAGTGCATGTTCTCCTGCTGCTCTTGTAAACCCAGCTGACGTGCAGGATGAGAACCAGACAGTCAAAGCCATGAAGGCCCTACTCACCAGACGAAAGCTCCGCTGAACATGTAGATTTCAGTGACCAGCGAACAGGCACGTGCTTGTCCGGGATCTGGGAGAGAGAACCGAATCCCTCCAGACAGAGACCACACCACGCTGCAAGACAGGCACTGCAGATGTGCAGCTTGGAATGTGTGTCCACACACGACACTAGCATGCGCCTTTCAAAGGAGACCCCCTGTTGATGAGAAACATTCATCAGTAAGCACTAATCAGAAGTGACCTATAATAAAATAAAATGTCAGTGCATCAGCTACAAAAAATTGCCATTTTCCTGACGACTAACTGCAGCAAAATGGCAGTTATGCACTATTCATTTTCATGCTCAGTACTATTTACAATTCTTAAGCTTTTATGTGCAATGTGGTAAATAGAATCTAGTGTTTCCTCCTATGTAGTGCTAACGCTAGCAATTCGGGGTTTATCAAAAACCATAACTTACCACGTCTACAGATCCAATGAAGAAGACCACAACTTGATCTACACTCGATTTACAACAGGATTTACACGAGAAACAATAAGAATAATTAAACAAGTAGGGCACAAGAAAAGAGCACAGAGTTGCAAAATCTCTAGGTAGGTCATATTCACCCTTTTATTTCACAACCGTAAGGTAAAATAAAGTGTATTTAGTGGATTCTAAAACGGAGGTTTTCTTACCATTTTATATTTGAAAATCGCACCACGCCGGCAATTCCCCCACAATGCCCAACAATGCCAAAGCAATAATCATTAACTGGTCCCAACACCTTCAGGTCTCGGTTCCTGCAACTGGATGGGACACAGAAGTTCTGCAAAACGACACCAATAAAAATGCATTAGTATTCAACAAGGTTTGGCTAACCTTCACCCACGTTCAAACAGCGCAGAAATACACTGTTCATTCAATAAAAGGACATCTTTCTGAAAAGTCTCGTACCTGAAGGAAACCTCAAAAACAAAAACACTGGATTCTAGGCATTTTGGGGCAGAAAAATGATATTTTAAAGTGTTCCAAAAGAGAAACATTACCTCGCAAACTGCCAGCACCGCCATCTTGAATCAGACCCACTCGTGGAAGGGGGAGAGAGCCGCACTCGTGGGGAATTTACGCCAGGTGACAGTGACGTAAAACGCCGCCAATTTCTGCAATTACGTCATTCGTTCCCTTTTTGTAAACCCCTTTTAGTACTTTAATCCCGTGCAATGTTCCCCATTCTTAGGGGTGTGACCTAGAATGGCCACCCCCCTAAAAATACCGGCCCGGTGCAGACCCGGCTGCTGGAAAACGCACTTCGCCGGTGGAGCGTGATCGGACCGTACCCGGGTTGGATTCGAACCCGCTCTGAGCGAAGAGGTGCCGGGGGGGCTCTAGGCTACTCTAAGCCACAGGATTTAGAGCCTGGTTTCCAATAGCTGCAACACTGACTTTGCCCGCTACGCCACCTGGCCGGTGCACACGACCTGATTTTTATCTTATTTGAATTCTAGTCGGACAGTTCTTTAAAAAAAAAAACGTTTTTAAATGAAACATTTGAATCACTGGTAATCTAATGGCTTATGAAACTGGATGGCTTTAAGCACACCCCAAAGCACGAAGAAATGTAATTCTGAGGAAAAAATACAAATGTTTAAAAACATTATAAATTTCAAATGTTCTCATATACTAAAAAGTAAATCGCACTCTTTCAGCGTGATGCTATATGCAGTCTTATTCGGGGGTAACTGCTGCATTCATAAAGTTGCACGCTAGGTTGTTAGTCTTGTATCAAAATATTTCCACTCATAATGCCAGTTGGATTTACAGAATTAAAAAGCCTAGATTTGAAAGGGCAAATTCACAGCTTCATAATTGTGGTGCCTTTTTCAATAAAAAAACATGTTTCAAGTGGAGAGCCATAATCCAGCAGGCCTTTAAAATCGTGTTTATAGTTTGTGAAGAGTGTCACCTTTCTTGGGGCAGTTAGCAATGCTACTTTGCTGCTCCCTGGTACAGGGTTCAATTCTGTCCTGGAGATGTCTTTCTGTGTGAAGTCTGCATGTTTCCCTCTTGTGGCTACACTGGAGTCAGGTGAGTTTGTTGCAGGCACCCTGGCTGAGAGACACTCCGAGCAGGCACAGGACTTTATTAAATTGATGACCGGTTAGAGACAGGACAGAGGAGGACTGAGAGACCCAGACAGACAACATTGTCAAAGCACTGGCCAGACACTGTCAGAGGTCAGGTCAGAGAACCTGGATGAAGACCCACTACATTGATAGATGACCTCATCCCCTTACCCACCTTAGGTCATGCAGCTTCGGGAGGATTGCTGCTAAACAGGAAATGTATATAAGCTGCTGAAAACTTGCATGATGTATCTTTCCAGTCTGGAGGCAGTTTGCTGGATAAGATCACTCCAAGTGAAGCCTGGGGTGGTTGTGGAAGAGAGTTAAAGTGCCTCTACAAGAGCTGCAGAGAATACAGATGATGACTGTCCATATTCCCATGTCCTGAGAGTCATCTTCCCCACTCCATGCTGACTAGGCTGACTGACATTTATTAAATGTGCCCTGAGATGGACTGGTGTCCCATCCAGTGTGAATCCTGTCCTGGACCCGTTATCTGCTGGGATAGGCACTGCTTAACTGTAACCCTGGATTGAAAGTGCTTTAAACACGTCACTTTTCATTAAAGTTCAGCGGTTCAGTGAATTCGGGAATGGCCAGTTGTGGTCCTTGAGATTAGCAGAGCATTAGCTGGATGGATCTGACTGGAACAGTGAGGGCAACGAGATCTTTCCAATTCAATCAAATAACTGCTTGTGAATTTGCAGTGCACCAATGTTTGTTGTGTTGTTCGTAGTATAAAAAAAAGTAACTAAGGGAATTATGAACACAATGAACGCTGTAAAAAGCAGTTCTTCTCTGTAACTTGCTTTTGTCGCGAAAGCATTGATTTTCCATGTGCCACGCCCTGTGCTTCAAATTTAAGCGCACATCTTCGCAAGGGACTGAATTACCTCACAATCATTGCAGCTCAGTTTCTCAGGGATCTTATTTAATCTCCCCGGGATTATTTGCTTTGTATTATTCCCTTTTTCTCCCTTTTCACGGCAACATGCACTTTTCTAAGCTGTTTTGATGACGGCCAATTAAGACCTGCGTGAAAGGGTAACACAGCTCCTTTCCCCAGAAAAAAGGATTGATCTGTAACCCCGAGTTGCACCGTTCTGGAGGGAGCAGGCTACTCACCTTCTCGGTATTTCGTCACCTCCAGTCCTGGAGAGAAACCAGGCGCTCCGATTCGTATTTGAGCGACTAATCACCCGTCGTCAGGTCTCAAAACGCGTCCCGAATCGCCCGGGTCGAGTGACACAGTAACCCCAAATTACAGTATGAGGAGGAATCAAGTATTCACCTCACTAGAAGCGGACGTGCAATCTTCGTCCGGTATAGCTTATGTGTTTTCCACAAGCTTAATATTATGTTTTACAAGCTCATTTTACTTGCGCAATAATTACGATTTTCAAACTATGCGTGTCTGTATTGCTGCACTAATACAGTACATGCTATGCAGGAAGGTGCGGAAGCATGAAGCTTTAGGAATGAGCTAGCAGTCCCTTTCACCTGAACTCCGAATATCACCGGGAAGCACAGAAAGTATTTCATTTTACAGATGCGTGTCTTTTAAAGTTTGTCTGTGGGTTTGTGAGCAAGTAGTGGAAGCATTGGGGCCTTTCTGGTAAGTTGTTATTTATGCATTTAAAACCTGCTTATGAGCTGTACAAGAATCACAAATTCTATCTGTATCATAGCTCTATCTGTATGGATGTCTGCTATAGAAAGAATCACAATTGTTTTCAGTATACTACTTTATCACCAGACGAATGAATAAACACATAACACATCAAGTTTAGAAGTGAGAAGTTTATTAATCACAAAACCTACAGTTTTGGAATTTGCACTGTTAATTTTGTACAAGGGCTTGCAATTGCAACCAGACAACTTCCAAAAAAATAAGTAATAAGGTATTGAGATGATTGCCATGCCAAATGCTTCGCCAAGTGGGACTCAAAATCCCAGTTTTCGGTGTGAGAAATTCACAGATAATCCTATCATAATAGTGAATTCCGCTTGCCTTAACCACTTCAGCTTAAGGATATGCACATACTGCACCATGGAATTCACAGAACACTTGACAGTACTTTTCTATTGATTTTTGTGGTACAATAACTGTTTCAGAAATGGAACAAACATACAATGAATTTGGCATCACAATGAGTGTGAAAACTTAGTCATGTATTAGTTATGTATCACACAATGCCACCACTTTCCAAAAACAATAAGTACCAGAATAAGAGTAGCAAATTACTGGGAGACTATCAATAGTTCTATTTCACATATTCCATCATAAAACTCCATATTGCTGATTTACGTTCTTGGTTTTGATTTATCAATATTTTGTTGCACAGCTTTAATAATACCAGTAAGAGTGGTCTAAAGTCTGGTACTCGACAAAGCATCTTGATTCTAACTTCTGAGACTGAAGCGATGAAGAATATTTTGTTTGTGCTGTTAGAAAATGAACTACAGCACTGGAGTAGCAACATACTGAATAATGAACAGGCCTAGTTCATTTTATTTTGTTTTCAGTGAAATCTAAACTTGTTTTTGTTTAATTAACTTAATATAAATAAAATAGAGCTTTACTCTCTGATTTAAAATGTGTTCAATGTCAGTTTCCACAAAAGTTTAAACTACAGTATGTTAGGCACTAGTATGTCATAAAAATGTATCTTTCCTCCATGGAAAAATGAGTACAATTTATTAAATTCTGTAAAAATGATGGAAAATTGAATTATTTACAAAAATGGCCATGAGATATGTTGCACCTTTTGTGGGTAGCAAAGAATATAAAGTGACGATTTCTCCAGCACAACATTATGGTCACTGCTTGGCTATTTAGTGGAAATGTCTGAATTTTAAGTGGTCATTCCTCTCAAAAACCTACGTAACCTTATTATGAGCTTAACTGAATTTTGTGGTAAAGATTTTGGCTTTATTCCCAAGGCGACGTTGCATATTTCTTCATGAACTCTATCAAATCTGTAGTCTGGACTTTTTGAAATGAATTTTACAATAAAGTCAGTAACCTGGACATACAGTACAGTAAGTACAAATGAAAGCACAGTTAGTGCTCCATTAATTTATATAATGTCTCCTAAGCTTTAGAGATGATTGGAAAGTATACTTCTATAGCGCCTTATTAAAAACATCAATCTTCACTTTAATTGACTAGATATCTTCCTCAAACATGAATTTGTTTCAATTAAATGTGAATCTGGAGCAATGAAAGGCACTTTGAGAGGAATGAGTGAATTCTACAACTATACTTTGTCCAGAACATCCACTGCTACAGTGTATACAAAACATTACTTCAGCTATAATACAGTATAATGCTTATGAAAGTAACTTCAGAACAAAGTAATTGGGTATACAATGGAAAAGGCAGTTTTACAAAAGGTAGTCTTTAAAATGGTAAGAACTAAATGTTTCCTTGCAATTTACAGATATTGAAAAGCCTTTTTTTCTGCCCTTTGTATTTCCTCGATGACAAAAGAACAAAAAATGCATTAAGAAAGAAAGGTGTTTTTTAGAACAACTAAATGAAATGTAAAAATCAAGAGTCCAAATCTAAGTGTGAAATACATTTTAAAGTTCTTGCATGCCACACAATGCACTCAGCTAAGGCAAATCACAAAGAACTACTGATTGTGAATACCTAATTTTTTTTTAACTCTTTCAGGCATGGAATCTTATATGTTTGTGATATTTGTGAACCATTTCTAATGCTGTACAAAATCTGGAAAAGCACAGTGACATTTGAACCCCCTTAAATCCAAGCCACCAAACTAAATCCTATTTTTTGCAAAACATATTAAATCCACCCTGTTCTGAAACGACGACTCATTTTACTGTTAAAGAGCCTAGTTCTACAGTAATGCATGCAGAGCAGCACAGCTCAGACTTCAATTATTTTTTTGGCTTCCAATTTTATCCGATACAGGACACCCTTTTCCACAAACCACAGGCCGTGTTCTCGAGTTAAAACCTCCCACAATTTGTAAGGGAAAATGTCTCCAAAGGGTTAAGCTGTCATAATGTGGACAGCACAATGCAGTCAGTCTGTTGTCAAAAACTCCATTGGCTTATCCTTTACATGCCAGCTCATTGTGACTTGCCTTTGTGCTAAACTGCTGCTGCTATTAATCACTATCATGCCATCTTCATAGCTTCTTACACACTGTATATATACACCCAGTAAAATACTTATTAACGTGCACAATAAAAAAAAAAACATTTTATTATTCTGCTCAGGTTTTTGGATGTGTTCTTAATACTGAAATATCATCTTTAACTTAAAACTAAAAATAAAAGCCAACTTGGGCCTGTATATTCAATATTTACAGAAAAAAAGCATAGAAGGTCACTTGAAATTAAGAGTATACTGCACTCCTTGGCAGTGTTCACCAGCGTAGAACTGGTGCCTTATAAATTCTACTGTCCATAAGACTATCTACAAAATTACACTTCTTACTAGTCCTTCATATTAACATTATTTAAATCCCAGCAGTTTAAAAATAGTGTAAGACAGTTGTTCAAAAACAAACAATACCTTGATATGCTGCAGCATTTTTTAATAAAGAACATCCACCTAGTTATAATTACTTCCATACAGTCTAACTCTAATGCACTTTACTAGTGTGTAGAATACTGTGTGGTTATAAATGTTAACTACATTTGTTAAAACCAAACAAGTAAAATTTAACAAAAACAAAAATATTGGCTTCAATGTTAGTATTTTACAAATATTAAAAAAGTAAACCTTTATCTATAGGCATTTCAAAATATATTCCATCAAAAATAGTTTGACAAAATTTGTTGGTACAAAAAAATGGTACATTATACTGTAGAAATGACAACAATTGGTTTTGAGAAGGGTGTTTTCGGTAGAAACGCCATGTTGACTAAGTCCAAAGCTGTTCTAATAGACTAAAAGCTGACCTGCAAAATTGGAAGGAAACAGCGTTGACTTCCTGAACCGCGGCACCATCCTCTTGCTTTGAAACAAACACAAATCTTAGCTTCGTCTCTCACAACACGCAATAACAGGGCCACTGAAATGAGCCATGCTTCAACAACATCCTATATTTCCTCTACCTGTGCCGCGACTACAAAATATCATGACAAAGCATGTATCTGGTTTTGCTGAGACTTTCAGATTTAACAGAAAAAATCATGGCAAGTGCTCATCGCTGAGGCTGGCTGTTACAGTGAATGCGAAAAACAAGGTTGGTTTGCTGTTAATCTGCTGTGTGAGAACTGTTGTCACCTTTGGCAAAGTCAAGTCTTTTCGCTGCAGATGTTCCTCTTGTAGAAGGGGCCTCCCCAGGCAGTTTGTTCGTCGCCTCCCAAGCCAAGACGTTCATCAGAGGAGGTATTTGCCTATCTGAGCGTTTCTTCCTCCTTCTCACCGCAGCGACATCAAATGACAAAGGACGATTTGTGCCGGAAGTCTCCCTGAATGAGACGTGCAGGACAGAGAAAGGTGAGAGTGTGGCTTCAGAACACAACTTATCCTCCACTATTGATTTCCTTGTCTTAAAGAACACGGTATTTTGAATATCCCCCCGTTTCACACACAGCAGCTACATAGTTCTGCTTCACCTCCTCATCTGCTCTCAACACGCGACACGGGACTGTGTCAAACGTACGAGCATGTCCCTCGCCTTTCTGGCTGTCACTGTCTGCTGCAGCCTACTGGAACTGCTTAGCAACAGAGAACCGCTGGAACAAAAAGGACTTTGTTCACTGCTGCTAATGTTCAGTGGTTTCACGTGGTTCTCAGCTGGTTTTGAATAGTTTTATTCAGAACGCCTCGGTCCTCACCTCATAGCTAAAACCAAAAACCTTTGTCAGATGTTATATTTTATCTTATCTGTGCTTTTAATTTATTTTAGGTTCAACTGCAAGGATTATTTTTTTTTTGTTTTACCTCTTCATCTGTTCTGACATAATCCACCCCATCACCTTTCGCAGGTGTTTTATAGCTGAAAGAAAAAGGAATTGATTAGTTGAATCTTATCTGAGCAAATCAATTGCTTTTATAGTACTATTTTAGATGATAAAAGCACCAACAAGGAGAGCTTGTGTTAAGCTTAATATAAACAATTTATCTTGAAATACTGTTGGAAACACTTACTTGTTTCCTGTCTGCTTCTTGCTGACTAAGTAACCTCTTTTATATGCGCAACAGATGCCTACTGTTATGCACACAAGAACCACCACTACCACCAGTACTCCCAGGATGATCCCTGTGATGTTTAAGTCATCTGGGAAAAGAAGAGGCAGAGAAACGCATGACGCATTAAAGAATCATTCCATGTGAGCACTGACTCTTTACTTTATATCCAGTAAAACATTATTCAGACTTGTAGGTTGTCATCTTCTGAAACAGATAAATAAATGCAGGGAGGAAAAGAACTGGTTAGGTGCCACCTGCCTCATATTTTTATTTCCAGTTTTTAATGTAGGACACCAACAAACCCAGTCATGTGCTGCTGGATGAAACCAAATTCTTTGTTTATGAGGCTTTTCTTTTTGTTTTAATTTGATTCTCAGAACTGACATCTACAGCCACGTTTCAACAAAATGAATTAACTCATGTCTGCTTATTTTACACATTTTCACTGCCTGTTGCTTTATAAATAACATTTGATAGGCGAAAGAGTTTGCTAACACAAGTTAATTAATTGTGATGAACTATAATGTACAGTTTTGAGGATATGTCAGGATCTCCATCAGTTTTTAAGAACAGTGTTTGTAAAAACAAATGTTTCAGCAGTGCAAAGGTTCACGACAGTTTTGTCACTAAATGTCGGTATTCTGGGAACGTTGTGTAAAATAAATGTCCACCCTCCCTGTTGGACTAAGGATATGCTTCAGAATGTTCTAAATGGATCAACGGGGTGTTTGTTTTTTGATGAAATCACAACCAATAATGAACCCTGAGAACACAAACTCAACACAATACCAAAAGAAAATGACTTGTCACCTCCTTCTTTGTATTGGCCAACTGCCTAAGTAGTGGATTTACAGCATCAAGAAAACAATGTAAAACCACAAGAGAAACTCCGTTTTGGGTTCACGTTTTAAGTTAAATTCATTCTAATATTGCTTAGTCAAGGTTTTTTTTGTGATCTTTAGATTAAGGAGGCTAAACAAGTCTTTAAATGTTTTTAATTTACCTGTAATTTACAATGGTCTGTCTATCATGCTGTGAAACTTCTGACTGAGGTAAACTTGTTCTACCAGAGACCAGTCAGGGGATATGTTAGAGATATCTTTCCTTATGAATTCAGAGCTTGCTGTACTATTTTAAAACCTTTCTTTGCAACGGTTCAGAATACATGCTTTTGTGTTTGTGCTTGCCATTCATTGCCAATACTGTCCACCGTCTTAGCTACAGCAGTTCTGTAGTTTAAGACTTACAGACTTCCATCATCTGTGGGCCACACTGTGCCTCTCCTGCTTGGTTCTTGGCTCTGCAGAAATACTCCCCTGCATCCTCCTTCCTTACAGCACTGAATTTCTGGAAAAAACAACAATACCAATTCACCCACAATGCCGAACACAATAGTGCAGTAAGACACCAAGTGGAGATAAAACATTAATAAATCTCTTTCTTGCACAGTACCAGTATTAAGGTTAATGAAACAAAACTAAATACCCATTAACATAAATGAACCTGATTGCAATTTATGCTTTTTAGGTGTATAGAAGTTTTGGAATTACTGCATAGAGTGAAGTTTTCCAGTTTCATTATACAAACTGCTTTCTGAGCATGCAGAGCTAGTGTTTCTCAAGGACATCCCGCTGTTGCTTTTTGAAATAACTAAGATGCGGCCAACTAGAAAGCAGAGATAGCACACAAATGCCCTTAATCAGTCTGGTTTCTAAAGGAACACAAAGGCTAGAGCTGTGACCTGGTTGCAAATTCATCACTGCGGGAAAAAGGAAAGTCAGGAATATCTCCACAGCTGGGCTTCCATTCCCTTTAGCTGGTTCACTGGGCCTCAGCTGTGGGCTTTTACTCCTGCCACACTGTGCTGTAACTTTACCAGTGTTCCGCTTCCTAAGTTCAGGGTGTAGGAGGAGTTGACGTATCGGGGGCTGCTCTTGGGGTCTTCGGGAATTTCCTCCCTGTTGCGGAACCACTGGTACTGAGGTCGCGGATATCCCTCGCTTTCAGAACACTTCAGCTCAGCCGACTTCCCCACGGGCACAGACTTGGGCACGGTACAGGTGGGTGCTACAGGCTTCACTGCGGTCGGCACACACACACAGAATAAAAAAGACAGCCGTAAATTTAAGCAAGGCTAAGTGCAGAATGAGCTCATCGGAGACCGGCCTTCCAACATTGTGTTAGCGATGTCCTTCCAGGAACTCTGCACAGCGTTCCAGCTAAAATAGGCCAGGAAGGGGCATGACAGAGGACTTGCATAAGACAGAGCGAACCCCTCTGAACCAGCCACGCAAACACGTTGTCATGCCAGGGCGTGTTGTCCAGCGCTTTGCCTTTCCATCTTTAGTCATCTCGAAAATCCTGGATGCGCTTTCAGAGGTTTTCCATTTTTAGCCAAGGCACACCCTCGCACAGTAATTGGCTAGACCAGATCATGAGTACACGCCAGGAACTGACATGATGCTTTACACGGTTTCAACTTACAGCATCACAGGTGGAGAACATTAACACAGCTCCAACTGGACAGAAACTATAGTGATTCCTGGTAGAACGGCCCCAAGATCCACTTCAGGATTTGGTCCATGCATCTTGTTATTAGAGCAGAAAGGAAAACTGGGAGTAATGGCTTTGAATTTATCATAGGCTGTACAATAGCTCCTTATTATAATAAACTTTACAGAAATAGGATAATGGATTGAAGTATTAATCTCACAGTCACATTTGTTTTTATCAGCGACTGCTTGAGTTTGGCACCCTCTGATTATACAGTAGTTAAGTGCTTGTAATTCTAGTGTTGACCAGAGTGTGGCGGGCTTTCTCCGGCTTTGTTTTTGGAATTTTTTTATCCTTGTAAATGCACTGTACATGTAAGAAGAGCAACATCCCAAGTAATTGTTTGCCACTTCCTAATTTTGCTTAATATTCTGAGCATTTTGCTTTCTGTCTTTTCCTACTCTGTGTACTCTAAAAGTGACACAACTGAAATAATACTCATTTGCAATGCAATAAAATCTTCAATGTTCAGTTCACATGCATCGCTTTTTCAGTTTCTACATGACTGTGAAACATAGAATACTGAGACTCCTTACATCGATACAGAGGGATGTAACATGAAATTTTAATATACTGGCAGTGGCTGGGAGAGTTTAAAAGAATGTACCAGACTGGAAATAACATAGGTTTCTTACCGATTTTCACAAATCTTTCAAAAGCTATTTGAAATCATACATGAAATAGAAAAATAATAGCTTTTTTTAATGTAAAGTATCTTACCTTGTACTACAAGATTGATTAAAATTTCATCAAATGATTTCTGATCATTGGCAGCTGTCACTTCACATCGGTATTTTGCAGTGTCTGACCGGGTTGCATTGGTTATCACTAAAGTTGCAGGTTTTAACAAAAAGGCCCTGTTTTCCAGATCTCCTGAAAAATAAACACACATTGCAAGCCTTTGGATTTCACTTTATCGTGACCTTCGTGGATAAAAAAGCAGCATTTAACCTTGAAAAAGCAAATACACAACCATGTTTAATGGCTACAGTGAACCTGTATGTGTTTGCTGAAAAACGCCTCTTACAGTAGTTGAAGTTTTTATGTGTCTGTACATTTCTGCCTCTTCATCTGCGTGGGAAAAATGGTGATCACTCTTTAAATTCAGTAAAATATTCCCTGAACTGTTCACCTTTAATGGAATTTAAAAGACTGTGTTGAAATTATATGAGTATGGAATTCTGATTCTATACAGTCTGCAGCAAACCTTGTTCTTTCATGTTCAGAGAAATTATTCTGCGATTCTACAATGTGTGAGTCTTGAGATTTCACTGCACATCTAAACAAAAGTACTACTGTCTTATTCTTCTGATGTACTGACCTGAAATTTTGTTTTGAAAATAAACGTAGCTCGGTCCCTCACTGTGGATCTTTTTCCATTCAATTCTGGGATTTGCAGTGGAAATTGAGTGTATCAAGCAGGACAGCTCAGCCCCTGAGAAAGTGAAAGAAGAAAGTTGATTCAATCTGTGTTTGCAGATTCTCGTCTAGCTCTAACAATAATAAACAATTATGTACATTCTGTCTTTCTTCTGTCACGTCAGCCACTGTAGAAAAAAACAATCAAACTTAAGAGATGGGTATGCACAAAATAAAAGGCAAATGAACAAAATTGAAACCTAAAGTACTGTATAAAGGTGGGTTTTAAGACAGTATTTAAAATGCTGCCTGGAAGTTTAGAGTTTTTATACAGGTGCTCTCATTGAAAGGAAACAGAATTTTTTGGAATTTCAGAATTTGTCTGGTAAATTACACTCTACAGAATCATAATGATGTGGCAGTAAATGTGTACCTTAAAGATTTAAGATCTAAACTTTATGTTAATGAACGTATCAGAAATAAGGTGAAGACAAGTACAAGAGGCATTAGGGGTGTTGCAAAACAAATAAGGTTTCTATCAATCAAATCCTTAAATTATAAGCTCAAATGAGGACTGAACATCAAGTATTAAAACTAGTGTTAAACTAAAGAAGGTTTCACTGTACACAAAATGAAAAATGCACACATGAGCCTAGCATAATGCTGGGAAACCACACTTGTGCTTCCTGACAAAATGCATCATAGGACATGGCTTTGAATTGGTTGTCTATTTCGCAGGCAAGTAAATGTTAGAAATCTGAACCAAAAAACTCCAGTACTCAGTACTCCGTCTAGTTACGGCAAGTGTACAGATTGGTATTCTGTTGTTTTCACTTTTTTTCTTAGTTGAGCATGTGTACTGTATATGTCAAGCCTATAAATGTATTGTTTGCCTGTGTGCACTGGAAGTTACAATGTCACGTCCTGTTGTCCTTTGAAGAAGTGCAGTTTGCCTCCAGAATAACAGGTGTGGGGTTACATTTATAACCCTAGGAGGGTTCATAAGATTTATAAGATTTTTAATCATTTAGAAAGCCAAAGTCCGGAAAATGACCAAATACATATAAATCACTCGGTGGTTGTGATAAGTAAAGGAATTTAATATTATATATATATAGGTAAAAATCAGTTCTTTAGAACTGGGCAGGTAAATACAGTGGCACATGAATTTCAGTGTCTATCATATTACATACAGGCAGAATGTACATTCATATTACAAAACGGGAAGCACTGATCTTGAGGATCTGACTTCTGAAACTGATGTTTTTATAGACCCAATGTCCTTATATTGTGGACTGGAGCTGAAATACAGGCTGATGAGACGCCAGTGCTTTGCTGTAATCAAATCAAAGAAAGTGATGCTAGGATTAAACAACACTGCACAGAAACCAGGTGCCCAGGAACACATCTGAAGCGGATTCTCTGAGGACCTTCAGGAACCAGCTGGGTGAGACTATGAGATCAACAATCTACGTATGAGAAACGAAGACTGGTGTAAGATGGGCCCTCCACTTGCTTATAACCATGTGTTCTGTTGTTCAGATGGACGACTTCTCGGCTTATCAAGCAGACGGCCACATCTGCGCACTTACGGTCAAACTCTTTAACCACAGGGTTCTCATTGGCACTTTTCAGTGTCACTGCGAGCACCATGCTACAGCCTGCAAGAGACAGAGAAATTGAAAAGCTTAAAACAGGGTAAGGCATCATGAAGTCAGTCACAAGCTCAGGACTTTGAGAAGGATATAGAGATCATGATTTGGACTTGGTGTTTGTCTTCCAGCTGCTTTTTAATTCCCTTGAGGGGGAATGGTTTCTTCTCTTTTCAGCCTGGAATAAACCTGTACTTCTTCCTTTGCAAATCTGTGAATGCTGCATTTGTGATTTTCAGTACAGTACATGGCTGCCAGCCAAGAGGTCAAATAGTGTATGAATCTCTGAATACACATCATGAGGGTAATTTAGGGTTAGTGGAAGAACTGAGGACTTACAGTAGGTTTAGGGACAAGCTCATCAGCTCGTCAGAAATGTCACTCATCAGCTGTGTCTCAAGGCAATCAGCAGTTCAATCAGAACAGAATCTTTAGAAGCCCTAATAAGATTAAGAAAATGTGTGTGCCCTCTAGTGGCCACAGGTGGATGCAAGCAACCACCCTGTCACAGAGTATGTGTTTCTGAATGTGTGTCTGTCTTGTGATGGACTGGTGTCTGATTCAGTATTTGTCCCGCCTGTTTTGAGCCTGTTGCTTGCCAGGACAGGCTCTGGCTCATCCGTCAACCTGAAATGGATCAAGCGGTTAGAAAATGGATGGATTTATCATAATAAAGATGAGGTGTTCAGAAACTTTAGTGCTGTAACACGTGGTTTGCCCAGAGCAATGTTTGTAGTAATTCAATACTATTACACGTAAGAACCATCTTCTGTTTTCCAGAATAAAATAAAAAACAAGGGAACTTCTTCTGGAGCTTTTGTGCATCAGAGCATTGCTTTTTTTTAATTTAGTATTTTATTATTTTATTATTTAGTATTTTGAATTTTACAATGCGTGTATTATTCTTCCAATCTAGAATGATGTAAATCAGACAACCTTGTTCAGAGCTCTGAAGTGAGTTTAATATGCTTATCCACATTGGTGCACTCAGTTTTCTCAAAATGATGCGTCTTTTATAACATAAACCCTCACGTGAGTTCAAAACACCCCTTGAGAAGGCTTACTTTTTTGACAGTGTTTTAAGCCATACACATACAGATTTTAAATATTTTACACATTTTCTCAGACTGAAAAGCATCTTTGTCAAATTGGCAAAACAGGAGCTAAGAGCCGTACTGAACCAAAATACATTTATATGAAGCCTCAAATTCACCCAAGAAAGAACACCTGAGTGTATAAGCCCATCTCCGGTTGTCACTAAGTGTGCTTACACAGCCTAAGTGTGCTTGCACATCACTTTGTGTTGCCCTTAATAGCTGCTTCAACAGAAAAAGAACTAAATTAATATAATTTTGTGAATTTGTCTTGTTCTTCTTATGTAACGCTGGGCTGTCATAGTCTCACATTAGCTTCAGTCTATACAGCAACAAGACAGCTGTTTAAATAAGAAATCCCTCGGTCCATTCTCTTTTGAGGTCTTTCTGTAACCTGTTTCTTGCAGATGTGGCTTTGATAACCTTTAATGCAGTGGGAGAGATGCTGAGGAAGATGTTTCCATGCTTTTGGCCTGTAGCTATATCCTGGGTATCCTATTGGTCAATATACTGTATATGGTTTGGTTTAAGATTTTACAAGTAGTTTATTGATTTACAACAGAGCTGTAAAAAATCAAGAACAGTTCAACAGAGAGATACCTGATGGATTTATTATAAAATAATCTCTTTTCATCTCTATCTTGCATTTCAATATTTCTTTCTTCCAAAAAAAGGTGTTCTTCAAACTTTGTGTTTTTTTTGGGAGGTACAGTATCTTCCTAAATCTTGATTCAGTATGTTTAAACACTAAAAAACGTTAAGATTATAAACTTGTTTTGTTGTTCGAGCCTTCATTAAGCAATCATACAAATTTTATTCAGGGCACCAACTCCTCTTTCCTTTTTTAGAATGGGTTGGAAAGGCATCGCACTCTGTAACTTTCAGTCCTCTGAATCTTTAATGGTCCCTTGATACAACAGATAAGTTTAATTTTTTAAAATTCTTAACTGAGCATTTTTCTATATGTAGGCCATATCTCTGAAGATCTGTTCCATTTCGTACAATTGACAGGATATAAAAAACAAAAACAAAAGTAGCTCTGACTTTTGAAGATATTAATCAAAGGAAACGACAGGGCTATGAATTAGGCTGGTACTGTAAATCTCCCCATATTATCTGAAGCGACACATCAGATGAAGAAAAGGACTATTGTGTTGTATAACCTGAAAAACCCAGGTTGCATTTATTGGGACCTTATAGTACCGCAGTATGAATAACTGCCAGGTTTCTGATCAGATTATGCAGTCACTAAACACTTCTTTTTTTAATAATGTAAAGACTTTAACATTTTAAACCTCCAGGGTTTAAAAAATAAATTTGTTGTAACACACTGTAATCTCTTAGACTTGACTTTTGAAGATTTTAAAGATTTAAACAATTTTCATGTAAAGGAATACTACAGTGCATGGGCTTGAAATGCTTTCACTTTCCATCAAATCAGAAAGTTTAGAAAGACAAGATCAACTAGGAAATGAGAATGCCTGCCTACCTCCGGCCAGGAGGAAGTGCTTTTATCTGACAAACTTGCTTAACTGTGCCCTTTTCTCAGCATCATCAACGAACAACAACGAACAGGAATAAAATCCTCCCGGATCCCAAGCACTCACAAAAGCATTGTGGTCTTCAGAGATAGGGTCTCACAGTATAACACACCTTAGGTATTAAATATAAATGCTTGGTAGTAATCTATTGACTTGAAAGTGACACAGTTTTGTGAAAGGTTTTAGCAACTTGGCTTTAGCCTCTCATCGTACCAAGCGTACTTAGGCAATTCTGCACACGCTATGTCCTTTGCGCGCGTTGCGCTGTAAAGTATTATGCATGTGATGATAACATTTTGTGTAGGAGCTATGAAAGAGTCAATGAAGCCTTTATGCAGCAACATTCAAATAAAGCATTGCCAGTGTTTTGCACAGCTGGTGATAAGTCTTCACTTCATGCTCTTTAATCCCCAAATCTACAAGAAGTGAGACCGTTTAGATTCACTGCCTACTGTAACACAGATGTAAGATGTGTGTTTCCTGTCAAGGGCAGGTCTTTTGGTGAAAGGGAGCCAATCAGAGAGACCTAGATGAGGGCAAAATCCCAGGAGGATCTCAAGGTTCTCTTCTGGAACTGGACAGTGATGTTTCTGAAGGCACATCGGAGACACAGGAAATCAAAGCAAATCAAAGACAAAACCAAGAATGAAGCAGAGGGCATTTAAGAGATTTCTGCTGAGTGTTAGCAATGTATTGGATGAAAATGAAAGCAGTGATGATTTTAATATGGATGATTCTAATCATTCTCTAATAATTCACTAATTAGGAAGGTTAATTAGACTAATCTGCAGATTATATTGATGTTCCAAACAAAATTAAACAGACTGCCACTGTAAAAGTGTCCTCAAGCAGTAGTTGTACAGGCCAGGCTTAAAGAAACTCCAAAAAGATATTATACCTCCTAGAAGGTTGTCTTGTGAGGATGAGGGTTGATAACCTTCTGTTATAATCTAGCTCTTCATGAACGATTTGCCATATACAATTGGACTGATAATAATCAGTGCTGTAATAAAATCTTATATGAAGGTTGGCAGTTTGGGTCCATCAATGTCCTCAGCTTCTGCATACCTGGAGTTCACTTAGGAACCTCACAAGAATGTCTGAACTTTAATTAAAACTTTGCCTTGTTTGAAGTTCATTCTTGCAATGTCTACTAGTATATTAACAGGCATCACATCTGTTACATTCAGCAGGCATTCACAACACAGAAGCAGATCAGGGCCCACGGAACGCTGAAACTCTTGACACTCTTATTATGTTTGGACCCTCAGAGCTAAGATAACACCTAGATGGGTGTGCACTGTCTCAGCTACTTCTGGCCGGCTTGTTGACAGGTTCACAGCTGAAACAAGCAACGTTCCTGTTAGCTTTCTTACCCAACTACATAAAGTGAAGCGTATAAATAAAAATTAAACCAGGCAGAACAAGGAACTGTTACAAAAACGTCTGACAGAGGTTCTGCTCCCCAAGGACCAATCTACCACCTTTCCTTTACACTGAGGAAGCATTTAGACATTTCCTGAAACAAAGGAAAGCCTACAGATGTGTCAAAGACATATAGCATATATACACTAGTACAGTACAGTGTTAACAGAACAGTATTTAGCCCCAACTTTGGTTTAGAAATGGCAACTGTGTCTCTGTATACAGAAAATAAAGTGAAATTATGTAAGTGATACCTTTTTAATGCTAAGATAGATAAATCTAAGACTTGTCTTCTCCTTGTTACCATATTAGTATTTTATAAACATTAAGAATACATTAATATTATATATTTATATAAGATACTGTAATCATTTTCACTTTACATTTTATGGCTTGTTTATAAATATTTTATGCATGCATTAAGAAGATAATTTCATCTTTTAGGATTATTATTTAGTTCACAAAGTCTAAACATATATCACACATATTGCAGAATGTCTTATTAACATATTTTGCACAGTACTTATTACTGTAACTCATATTTTGTTCTAAAAACAGGAAAAATAATTGTACAAACTTTTTGGTAATGTGTTCACCTGTCTTGCGTACAAAGGCAGCCATCCTGTCTTACTCACAAAAGTATCTACATGTTTTTCAGTGACTTGTGACCATTACTTGCAGTGTAATTTAAGAAGGGCTGCAACATAGCCTGGTTATTTGGAACTAAATTCTCACTTTAGGAAAAGAAATCTTTATAAAGAAAATTAGAACATAAAGCCTTTCCCTTTTCATGTCTAATCTGATTATTTTGTTTCATTTATTCATTTTTCACCAGTAAACTAAACTAGTCCATTTCTAAATTCTGGTTTAAGAGTGGTGTCTTCACTCTATATTTTAGTTAATATATTGGAAGTAAGTTACAATGTGAAGTCCCTTTCTACATATTCAC